CCCCCCTGTATTTTTCATGTATACAGTAATCCAAATTATGCATTTTCTTAACAACAATTTTATTTCCAGACCAAAATAATGACTAGTTAGTTGTCAACCTTGGATTATTTAGTCCTTTCATTTCTTTAACTTCAAACGAAAAGAGCATTTTATATCAATTATATTAATTACCTACGTATTTTCTTTTACGTTAAATAGTCTTTTATGTGCAAAGTTTAGCTTAATGTAGTATGTTTCCCTTTGCTGAAAAATAAGCCACTTTTTATCAAAACGTTTCCTTAACACATATATACGATTATTTATTATTTAATTATATCTTTTTTATCATGTTCTAACATATCTAGATTAAAATAATGATCTGTTTTCAAATATCTGATTTCCAGATTTTTTGTTTTGAACTTTGAACATGAAGTTCAGTTAGTGTCACATATGGTGCAGAACAGAGAACATTTCAATATAAAAATACACAAAATTATTTATTAAATATACAATTCTTATTTTTTGCTTCCATTTTGTATGATTTATATAACCCAGAACTTTTGAGACATCGAAAGAATAAATAACGTGTCGTTTTCTTAACCTACTGACAATGGAATACTGCAAATATGTGTTTAGTTTTTTTTATTGAATAGTTAAATGACGTTCTTTAAAACTGTTTTCTCCTATTTCATCATCATGGCTATTTGTTTATTTTTACGTTTACTGAGATTAAGGTATAAAAGTATTAAACTCATTGAAAAATTATCAAGACGACATTTTATAAATTCTTTCGTTTTCTCTATAGTTCTGTGTTAAACTGTAAGTTTGTTACACTCGGTGCGTCCTCAATGTTCATCTCCTTATCAGAACATTCTATAATGCTTCATCATGTTTATTATATAAGTCCAAGTAAGTGCGTTCTCAATGTTCATCTCCTTATCAGAATATTCTCAATAATGCTTCATCATGTTTATTATATAAGTCCAAGTAAGTTCATCTCCTTATCAGAATATTCTCAATAATGCTTCATCATGTTTATTATATAAGTCCAAGTAAGTGCGTTCTCTTTAGACTTAATGGATACATCTTTGCAAGACAATGTCGTAGATTTTAGATATTTTAAACTATGAATTCCGATGGATCAGATGATTTCAGTTTGAAAAAGTAAAGGTTTACACGATCAGGTTGCTTAGATATAAGGATTAGAATATTTGAGTTTTTGGCAAAGACTCAATTCCTTTGTCAATAGAGATAATGGACAAGATTACATATTTCTAGTAGATATAGAGTTATCTATAAAGGAGGACCCTTGAATAAATATAAAAACCGAAAGATTGAAATTGGTAAGAAAAAGGAATGAAAAAAATCGTGCAGTCTCTGAAGTCTTATCCCTTATAGGTAACTCATGTAAATTAAATGTTATCTGAAATTTTTTGTACTATTTTGTTTTAAAAAGGAAAAATGGTTGTAACCCAGGAGGAGATCGAGAGATTTCAGGAGGACGGAGCAATTCTTCTCAAGCAGGTCTTGACACCTCAGGAGGTTCAGCTCCTTCAAGCTGGTATCCAGGTATACCCTTGTACTGTACAGGTTCTGCTCCTACAAGCTGGTATCCAGGTATATCATTGTACTGTGCAGGTTCAGCTTCTTCAAGCTCGCAATCCTTGTACTCTACATGTTCAGCTCCTTCAAGCTGGTATCTAGGTTTATCCTTAAACTGTACTGCTTCCTAACCTAACCTAACCTAACCTAACCTAAAAGCAATAGATTTAAAGAAGAGTATTTTACACTCCTCTGCCGCTTTAATCATTGTAAATTGGCGGTACGGTCCAAAGTAGGACTGCAAAGGTTGGCCCAGCTCGGATATTCAAATGTACATCGGTGGGGCGTGATTTTCTTTATTTTAGAAAAATCTGGAAAATCCAAGTGTAAACGCAGAGAGCATTGCTTTGGAAGAGGGACAGGTATATCGCACAAGGTTTCTCAGTTTTTAATATTACTAGTGTTCCATGTTGTACAAGGTTTCTCAGTTTTTAATATTACTAGTGTTCCATGTTGTACAAGGTTTCTCAGTTTTTAATATCAATAGTGTTCCATGTTTTACAAGGTTTCGCAGTTTTTAATTTCAATAGTGTTCCATGTTGTACAAGGTTTCTCAGTTTTTAATATTACTAGTGTTCCATGTTGTACAAGGTTTCTCAGTTTTTAATATTACTAGTGTTCCATGGCGCTTAGAGATATTCTTTAAATGTCTTTCAATATTCATACAACCAAAGCTCCATAAAACCCTGTCTGGGCCAATGAGAGATCGCAAAAGTATATATCGTGGATATCTGGTTGTGTTGTACGATTAGCTATATTTCCGACCATTAATCTGTGTGTTCTATTTTAGGGGGCATATTTCAATGATTATTGCAACTGGAGAAAAATACCAGAGTTTAGGGGAAAAAAATTAAAAACTCACATTTTCATAATTGACATTTTTAAAGTTAGCAGTCGATAAAAATGTATTGATTTAGAATTCACTTCATGAAGCTGATATCACAACATCAGTTATAGTGTTCCTGTACCTTGACTAATTAAACGATTATGATTGTTTCTGATATCAAATGGAAATTCTGCAATCTTCTTTTCTAAAACGACAGTGGATTTCTTTAGCAGTTACGAAACTAACAGGAAAATGGCCAGTAAAGATATGAAACGATAGCTGTAAAAATATTTTCACTTTTAAATCAAATGTCTTGTAGAATGTAGAGTGTATACGTGACCCTTAATTTCTAGAATTCACATCGGTAACATTTAAACCATTGTTTAATCTAGGATGATTGGCAAATCCTTGTTTTTAGCTATAAAATTGATTATTTTAAGTTGTGGTTTCATAAAATGTTTTTTTTCTTAATCTTTAATCAAGTTTTGCATAAAAGTAACAAAAGTATGAGGGAATTGTTAGAAAACTAAAATAATTTTTTTCTTAAGAGAATTTGTATTTAACTCAGCTGCAGGAGAAATAGCGGCGAAGGTTATGAACTCAAAATATGCAGTTTTCTTTCATGAACATGTTTTAAACAAGGAACCAGGTTTATTATCATTATTATTTTAATGCATTATTACTATTATTATTATTAAGGTACTGAGAAATGTACTCCGTGGCACCATGATCAAGCATATTATCCTATTGATGGTTGGAATATGATCAGTTTATGGATACCAGTAGACCCAGTACCGGTACAGTCAACAGTAAGTACACTTTAAGCTGTCATTACTTTACTATTATTATTTTTATTTTTATTGTTTTATTTTACTATTATTAATTGAATTATTATTATCCTAATCATCAATAATGTAATGCAAGGAAAGTTAATTGCAGTTGCGTATACTCTGCGTACATATTGAAACCAGTTCTCTCTGGGCGGAATTTGTAAACAAGAAAAGATGCCTCAGTGTTCGTATAGTATCCGAGGAGGTTTAAAGAATTGAATTTTGATAATTTTGATAATTATTATAATAGTCTCCTATGACCAGAATATTTCATTGATTATCTAAGTGAAAGATGGATCCCATGTCAGGCTTCGACATCCGTCTTGTGTTTACATTACCGCCCAGAGACAGTACACTGCGGTACAAAAGCTGCGTACATCTATGAAATAACTTTACTTCCATTAAATCCTTGCTAATCATTATTATTATAGTATTCTGTTACCATTTAAAAGTGATCGAAGTTAAGAGAAATATAAAGCCTAGAACTGATGTGAATGAGTGTACAGAGTATAGGATAACATGTATTTACAGTTTAAAAAAAGAACAAGTAATGGTTGAAACTAGTGAATCGAAGAAAGCCGAAGCTCTCTAGCAGACTCTACGCCTTTCTTTTATCTTAAACGATGGGTTAATCTTCCTCCTTTAATTCTTCGTGCGAACTGACTCAATATTGGCCTTAGCCAGGGAAATTCTCTTTCTTCTGCCTCACGCATCAAGTCCATTGGTCTGAGTTTAAAATAGAGAGTTTAACGGCGGCTTGTATTCTCCATTCATGAGTGAAGAGCATGATTTCCGGATGACATTTTTTAATGGACAAACTCTGAATACCTATTTAGGAGGCGACTTATCATCCGCCCGACTTTCTGTCCAACCTATAGCTATATCTTAAGAGCTACTAAGCTGCCATGTTTTTAGACTGGACTACTTAGCTCCGGGTCCGTATGAGGACTGAAGGGGTTACATCAATGGAACTATCCAATCTGAGCTTAGCTTCGGGTTCATGTGAGAACTGAAGGGGTTACATCAATGGAGCTATCCCTATTCCGAGCTATTGAACTCACACTAGTTACATTAATAGGATTATCATCGTTATAATATTTTTGTTATCATTATTACAGCACACGTCAAACTAAAGTAAATTAAGATTAAAATCTCATATTCTTCCTAACATAAGTACAGTAATTGAGGAGTTTTAGGGAAGACAATGTTTTGAACTTCTAATATGTAATCCAATAAATGTGCTTTTCTCATACTTGAGCATAAAATCAAATCTAGAGGAGCTAGAGAAGCTACGAGGTCACAAAGTTGGACTGGTAATGTCGGATAGATTTTACGTCTCCTTCTGTCTTGTTAGAAGTGAAACATTGATCCAACCATTTTGTGCCCTGTACAGGCTTCAGAAAAGGGGGAGCAGGGTGCCAGACATTTGTTTTATTGTATTGTTAAAAAATGTTTCCAAAATCTGTAGTAGTCAAAATCGTTAAACACCTAAAACTCCAAGATTTTTCTCTCCCAACTTACGCATTTAAAATAAAACTAGCAGTAGTTGGGTCTGGGAAGAAATCACCAGCATTGGAGTACTATTGGAGACCCCTCTCGTTGGAGACCCTCATATTTTTATTGGAGACCCCTCTCGTTGGAAAGCCCCATATTTTCGTTGGAGACCCTCATATTTTTATTGGAGACCTCAAGATTTTCATTGGGGAACCCATATTTTCGTTGAAGACACCCATGTTTTAGTTACGAAACCCCCAGATTCTTATTTGAGACCTTAATAATTTCATTGGAGACCCTCATATTATCATTGGAGACCTCTAGATTTTCATTGGAAACGCCTAAATTTTCGCTTTAAACCAATGATTTTCATTGGAGACCCCAATATTTTTATTGGAGATTCCTAACTTTTTGTTTTTAAACCTCAAAAAACGAAAATATTGGGTTCTCCAACTAAAATATGGGGTCTTCAACGAAAATAGTACTCCAATGCTGATGATTTTTCCAAGACTCGCAGTAGCTATATATTTTTATAATTCACCGCTTTTCTTTATGATAGATATCCTACTTTATGATAGATATCCTACTTTATGATAGATATCCTACTTTATGATAGATATCCTACTTTATGATAGATATCCTACTTTATGGTAGATATCCTATACTTTATGTTTTCCCTAAAGGAAGATTCTAATATCCGAGTAAAATAAATTTTCTTCTATTTTTCTCTAATTTGATGGAAAACTTTCTAATTCTTTATACGCGTTTATAAATAATTTCCAAGTTCCATTAAAAGTTTTCCAAGTGTGCTTTTTCAGTTATCCTTAAATATTATTTTCAAGATATAAATGTACAGTAAGAAGGATAGTTAGCCAAACAATACTAAAATATGACTTTAACTGAAGATTTTTTTGTGTGTACCATTTTTGGATAGTAAAAATACATCGAGTATCCTGTTGTAGAAAAAGAACACAAATAAATCTATTTGTTAGAAAGCACTATGCTAACTTGCTAAGGTTCTCTTGCCTGCTTTTAGACAAAAATACTTTTTCACATATAAGATTTTTTTACCAAAAGAATAGAAATAATTGAGGCAAATTAAACTCAAAATTGTTTTCCTTATTACAGAAATTGTTCTGTAAATGTTTATCTTTCTAACAAATTAACCTTACCAAATGGACTCTGATCTCCTCATACCTACATATTTACAATCCAATATTTATATCTAAAACTATACATTCTGTTTGATCAAATGTTTTTTATTTGAAATATCAAAGGTTTACACATTATGTTGCAAAAATATAGAGATTAAAGATAATTTTAGTTTGTGGCAAAGACTAAATTCCTTCACTTCTGATGAACCAATTTTTTAATAGGAAATGAAGATTCGCCGCAAACTCAATTTTTCTGATTTTTACATCTTTGCAAAATAAGATTTTGTGTGAGACAGCGCTAATCTACATACAACACTTGATCTCGATATCAATGCTGTGCCAACTTTTTGAATTTTACTGGTTCGACTTGAAGTGTCGCAACGCCTTGGCATTTGATTTATCCTCAATAACTTATTAGTAGCTCTAGATATGTTCATTTCAGACTTATAAAACACTTGTTTTTAGCTTTAGTTTTTTAAAATTAAGAGGAGAGCTTGCAACATTTGAATAACTATCGTAGACATTGATATTTCAATCTTCCAGATAAAACAGTTAACATTTCAAATATCTAGGGTTTACATCATCAATTTACTAAGATATAAAGACTAGAAAACTAGAGTCTGAGACCAGTCTAGTTTAAAATTGCATTTTCTAGTTGAGATTTGTGAAGGGCTCCCATAAGTGGGGTTGGTATCATCCAAGAAAATTTGCGACTGAGTCTAATTATCCTGTCGCTGTTGAGCCTGATATCGACACAGAGACCGATGGGGCAGGAGAGGTTGGTCGAGTTTATCAAGATGTTCCTCACAAGGATATAGAGGACGGTAAATACCAGGTGAACAAATATTTTAAAATTTTTTAGCTCTAAATATAAAACTTGAGTTTGTGGCAAGAACTCAATTCATTTTACATTATAGAATGCTGATAAAAAATGTAGAACTTTGCGGCGTTTTGTTTTTAATATTTAAAGCTGATTACTCATCTCAAACTCTGACTTTATAACCCCTCTCCAGGCTTTAAAAAATTGATTGTGTGAACCTTTGATATTTCTAAAGTTTATCTAGAAAAATAAAAAAATTGAAATATCAAATGTTTACGAAATTTGGTCGCAAAGATACAAGGATTATAAAATTAGAGTATAAGAAGATTTATCAGTTCTCTTTTCATATTTTTTTACCAAATATTTGAAGAAAATGTAAACGTAATCTCAAGTAACCCTCCAATAAATCCTCTAAATTAAAAGCCATCAAGAGAAAAACAAAGAAACCTCTTTAGTTATGCTCCGACGAAAGCTTCCAGGCCAGGTTCTGCGTTGTGTATCCTGCACTCCGATTTAATAGTTTGGTTCTTGTCTTAGCAAGCTTTGACTTTCCATAAAAATTCACAATTTAACTTATTAATTATATATTTTTGTACTTTTCTCTTTTAAATTTTTTGTTGGCATATGCATTTAAAAAATGAAAAAGCATAAAAAGACAACAAAAGAAAACAAATTTAAAGATTGTTCAAATATATAGAACTAGCCTTAGAGGGCGCTTCGCGCCCATCTTCTAAATTAATTGTGAACATGTTTTCTTTGTGTACATCGTAAAACAAAACAAAAATAATTCGCGGATTTTCACAAAAAATTTCGTGGATTTTCAAAATTTTAAAAAATTTAACGAAGATCGAATTTTGATGGAGACAAATAGTTGAAATTTTGATCATTCATAAACCTTCCCTGTGGTCCCTAGATGTCCCACAAAAAATTTGGGCCCGATCGGTTCAGCCGTTTTGACGTTTATTGGATACAAACAAACAAACAGACACCCAAACAGACAAGCTAAATTTATGTATAGATGAATTCAAATAGAAGAAACCGAACGAATCTCTCCCTTATTAGTCCAGGTGTGTTAGGCATTTAACTAGTTGAATAGAGCCTCTTGAAAATATGTCACCATTCCCCTTAATTATAAAAAAACGAATTAAAAATAGATTATTCTAGATCCTCGAGTGGGAATGTGAGCCGGGGGATGTAGTTGTATTCCATGGTAAAACCCTGCACGGGGCGGGAGGGAACGCCTCTAGTAGTTCGCATAGGCGTGTCCTCTCCACCAGATGGGTGGGAGAAGGAACTGTATTTGCTACAAGACCCTGGCAGGTAGTACACAGCTTATTCTTGTTTTTTAAAGGGACTGCTAATGTAATTTCAAATTATGCTAAAAAAATTTATTAATCTTAAAGGGACTGATGGCGTTATTTCAAAAAGACTGTCAAGGTAATTTCAAGTGCTCCTTTAAATTGATCGAATAAATGTTTATTTTTTACCATAAAAGAGGAAAAATCTCTAATATGTTGCCGCCTAAAAGACCTTAGCTGCAGGCTGTAATGAATGAAATGATTTATTCTAAAATCAACTGCTAAGATATATCTACGAATTAAAATTCTGATTCGTCGATATAAAGAATATAAAGAATAAACAGAAAATACAAATATCAAATATTGGAATTGGGTCTTTGTCACAAACTCATAGTTTCTGATACCTATATCTTTGCAACCCAATGTCGTAGACCTTACATATTTCAAACTATGAATTCTGTTAGATCAAATGGCCTAAGTATGAAATATCAAGGGTGTCCGCCATAAGGTTGCCAAGATAAAGGGATTAAAAAATTTGAGTTTGTGACAAAAACTCAATTCCTTTGCTGTATTTACAATTTAACTCTTCTAGTAGGATCGTATAAAGCTTTGATAGAATCACAAGTTTAATTGCTCAGAATTTATGCATCCCAATTTTAAACCTACAATTAGATACCAATTTTATCACTAACTATGGGAAAATATTTTTCAACTTTGGTTATTTGATCCGGCTGAATTCAGAGTTCTAAATATTTAAGGTTGCCAAGAATTATGCATTAAAAAATGAAAGTTCGTGAAGTGTATAGTATGTATATATGTATAGTAAACCAGTGTTGTTGTTTTTTACAAAGTTTGAAATGTTTAGACATCAAATAAATTATTCTTTTCGTTGAGTTTGATTAGGTTTTCAAGTAGTTCATTAACCTTTAACATATATTTAACCAGAAAATCCTTTACTCTTAAATTTAAAAATTAGAAAACTGGATTTTGAAATAAACTTTTAAAATGTTTATCGATATGATAGCCTGTTAAGACTGGATTATGGAAAAATTAAACAGAATCAAGCGTTTTTCTTTTTTTGAATTGAAGTTAAAACGTCGAAATGGTACCTAAAAATATACGGTTTTTTATCGAAGGAGCTGTAGACACTATGATCAATTTTCGTATAGAAAAACTAGGATATCTTTATCATTTTAACAAAGTAAAAAATCTTCATCAAACTAGGATATTTTTATCATTTTAGAAAGACTAAGATATTTTTATCATTTTAGAAGAACTAGGATATTTTTATATTATTTTAGAAAAACTAGGATATTTTGATCATTTTAGAAAAACTAGGATATTTTTATATTATTTTAGGAAAACTTGGCTATTTTTATATTATTTTAGAAAAACTAGGATATTTTTATGTTATTTTAGAAAAACTAGGATATTTTTATATTATTTTAGAAAAACTAGGATATTTTTATATTATTTTAGAAAAACTATGATATTTTTATATCATTTTAGAAAAACTAGGATATTTTTATATTATTGTAGAAAAACTAGGATATTTTTATATTATTTTAGGAAAACTAGGATATTTTTATATTACTTTAGAAAAACTAGGATATTTTTATATTATTTTAGGAAAACTAGGATATTTTTATATTATTTTACAAAAACTTGGATATTTTTATATTATTTTAGAAAAACTAGGCTATTTTTATATTATTTTAGGAAAACTAGGATATTTTTATATTATTTTAGGAAAACTAGGATATTTTCATATCATTTTAGGAAAACTAGGATATTTTAATATTATTTTAGAAAAACTAGGATATTTTTATCATGTTTGCTGAGATAAAGGTTGAAAATCCGGCGTGTAATTCTAGTTTGAAATTACGACTATAGTCTCTTTAATTTACTTTGCTTTGAATCTTAAAAGAAAACAATTATTTATAAAGATGTTTTGGAAAATGTCTTATTTTGTTACTAGTAGAAGTTTTTCATCAAATATTTACAATGTTTTTAGGAGCTAAGAAACATTTGCTTTTTATCCTTTTAATCAACAAGTTTCTGGGCAGAGAGAAATTATTAGAAAAATAATATTAAGAGAAAAAAATTCTTTCACGCACAATCTTTAATGAAAATATTTTTCGTCTAACCTGGGATTTAATTAAAGAGAGAGAATTAGTTTAACTCGTTCTGCTTAGTTGAAAAAGTTCTTCCTGTTCTAGGTGTCCCCAGATCTAGAGGTTTATAAAACAAATTCTTCCTGTTCTAGGTGTCCCCGGATCTAGAGATATATGAAACAAATTCTTCCTGTTTTATAGGTGTCCCCAAATCTAAAGGTTATAAAATGAATTCTTCCTGTTCTAGGTGTCCCCGGATCTAGAGATTTTAAAAAAAATTTCCTATTCTAGATGTTCCGGATCTAGAGATATATAAAACAAATTCTTCCTGTTTTATAGGTGTCCCCAAATCTAAAGGTTATAAAATAAATTCTTCCTGTTCTAGGTGTCCCCGGATCTAGAGGTTTTAAAACAAATTCTTCCTATTCTAGGTGTCCCCAGATCTAGAGGTTTATAAAACAAATTCTTCCTGTTCTAGATGTCCCCGGATCTAGAGGTTTATAAAACAAATTCTTCCTGTTCTAGATGTCCCCGGATCTAGAGGTTTATTAAACAAATTCTTCCTGTTCTAGGTGTCCCGGATCTAGAGGTTTTAAAACAAATTCTTCCTGTTTAGATGTCCCCAGATCTAGAGGTTTTAAAACAAATTCTTCCTGTGCTATAGGTGTCCCCGGATCTTATGATTTTAAAACAAATTCATCCTGTTCTAGATATCCCCGGATCTAGAGGTTTATAAAATAAATTCTTCCTGTTCTAGGTGTCCCCGGATCTAGAGATATATAAAACAAATTTTCCTATTCTAGATGTCCCCGAATCTAGAGGTGTATAAAAATTTTTTTTGCCCTGCTATAGGTGTCCCCGGATCTAGAGGTTTATAAAACAAATTCTTCCTATGCTATAGGTGTCTCAGGATCTAGAGCTTTATAAAATAAATTCTTCACGTTCTAGATGTCCCCGGATCTAGAGGTTTTAAAACAAAATTTTCCTATTCTAGGTGTCCCAGGATCTAGAGCTTTATTAAAAATTCTTCCTGTGCTATAGGTGTCCTCGGATCTAGAGCTTTATAAAATAAATTCTTCTTGTGCTATAGGTGTCCCTGGATCTAGAGGTTTATAAAATAAATTCTTCCTATTCTAGGTGTCCCCGGATCTATAGGTTTATAAAATAAATTCTTCCTATTCTAGGTGTCCCCGAATCTAGAGATTTATAAAACAAATTCTTCCTATTCTAGATGTCCCCAAATCTAGAGATTTATAAAACAAATTCTTCCTATTCTAGATGTCCCCGAATCTAGAGGTTTATAAAATAAATTCTTCCTATTCCAGATGTCCCCAAATCTAGAGATTTATAAAATAAATTCTTCCTATTCTAGGTTTTACAAGATCTACATATTTATAAAACAAAATCTTCCTATTCTTGGTGTCCCCGGATCTAGAGGCTTTAAAACAAATTCTTCCTATTCTAGGTTTTACAAGATCTACATATTTATAAAACAAAATCTTCCTGTTCTAGATGTCCCCGGATCTAGAGGCTTTAAAACAAATTCTTCCTATTCTTGGTGTCCCCGGATCTAGAGGCTTTAAAACAAATTCTTCCTATTCTAGGTTTTACAAGATCTACATATTTATAAAACAAAATCTTCCTGTTCTAGATGTCCCCGGATCTAGAGGCTTTAAAACAAATTCTTCCTATTCTAGGTGTCCCCGGATCTTGAGGTTTTAAAACAAATTCATCCTATTCTAGGTGTCCCCGGATCTAGAGGTTTTAAAACAAATTCTTCCTGTTCTAGGTGTCCCCGAATCTAGAGATTTATAAAGTAAATTTTTCCTATTCTAGGTGTCCCCGAATCTAGAGGTTTATAAAGCACAGATGTCCCCAAATCTAGAGATTTATAAAATAAATTCTTCCTATTCTAGGTGTCCCCGAATCTAGAGATTTATAAAGTAAATTTTTCCTATTCTAGGTGTCCCCGAATCTAGAGGTTTATAAAGCAAATTCTTCCTATTCCAGATGTCCCCAAATCTAGAGATTTATAAAATAAATTCTTCCTATTCTAGGTGTCCCCGGATCTAGAGATTTATAAAACCATGAAACCCGGAGATAAATTCCTAGCGGACATATTCCCTATAGTGTTTGGAACCATTAACGATTGTTCGGATTAAAGGGACGATTAACGAGATTCTAAATGAACCAACATTAAAGGGACGATTAACGATATTCTAGATGAACCATCATTAAAGTGACGATTAACAAGATTCTAGATGAACCATCATGAAAGGGACGATTAACGAGATTCCAGATGAACCATCATTAGATCTAGAGGGACGATTAACGAGATTCTAGATGAACCATCATGAAAGGGACGATTAACGAGATTCTAGATGAACCATCATTTAAAGGGACGATCAACGAGATTCTAGATGAACCATCATTAAAGGGACGATTTACAAGATTCTAGATGAACCATCATGAAAGGGACGATTAACGAGATTCTAGATGAACCATCATTTAAAGGGACGATTAACGAGATTCTAGATGAACCATCATTAAAGTGACGATTAACGAGATTCTAGATGAACCATCATTAAAGGGACGATTAACGAGATTCTAGATGAACCATCATTAAAGGGACGATTAACGAGATTCTAGATGACCCATCAGCAGGATTGACGACGGGAAGCTCTTTAGAGAGAGAATATCAACTCCCACTTTCTAAAGCTAAACAAGCGGATAGAAATAGTTGATCCCAGACGGCGAAGGTCCAAACTTTTTAAATCCTAAAAATAAATATACAGCTGTTTACATGACACTAAGACACCACTTTATTGCTGACTAACTAATTCTATTAAAGTCCTAAATATGTTTTATTACATCTTTCTGTAAATATAACTTCCCCTGTTCATCATTTAAAATATATCATCGAAAAGCTTTATTTTGTACCAAAAACAATTTTCGTATCAATTTCTTTTTAATTATGAAGCAACTTTTTCAAAATGTGTTCTTTTAAAAATACAGTTGTTATTGACACTCTTTACTTGATGGTTATTAGGAGTTAGGTAAGATATCCCTGTTTATAGGTTCTTAGTAACTTTGAAATGTCATACATAAACATTTATAGATATTAATAAATAATGGATTCTTAAAGATTCGTTTTCTTTATCTAAAGTCGTAAATTGAACCTTCATTTGTAGAGCGGCGTGTCTGTACCCTTCAATAATATCCATCATTGATATATTATTATTATTATTATTATTATTATACTAGACCTCCAATTTACCTCCAGGTCTAGATATAGCTCTATACCTCCAATTTATCTCCAGGAATAGATATAGCTCTATTCCACTAATCCATCTCCAGGTCTAGCTATAGCTCTATACCACCAATTTATCTCCAGGTATAGATATAGCTCTATTCCACCAATTTATCTCCAGGTCTAGATGTAGCTTTATACCAGCAATTTACCTCCAGGTCTTAATATAGCTCTATACCACTAATTTACATCCAGGTCTAGATATAGCTCTATACCACCAATTTACCTCAAGGTCTAGATATAGCTCTATACCACTAAACCAATCTATCTCCACTAATCCATCTCCGGATCTAGATATAGCTCTATACCACTAAACCAATCTATCTCTTGGTTTAGATTTATCTAGCTCTATACCACTAAACCAATCTATCTCTTGGTCTAGATTTATCTAGCTCTATACCACTAAACCAAACTTCTCAAATCAATTCAATTTTCAGGTTTGTGAACACGGAACTTTTGCCAAGTATAATTTATAAATATAGATTCTACGTGAACTGAAAACTCAACATCAATTCACACATTTATACTTTTTCTTTTCTCAGGAAGAAAAGTTTTCTAGTAGTTCAACAAATAATCTAATAAGTTTATCCAGGGGTAAATATGTTTAATCAGAAAAAGTCCCTGGTAATCTTGTCCTAGTAATCTTGTCCTCGTAATCTTGTCCTAGTAATCTTGTCCTAGTAATCTTGTCCTAGTAATCTTGTCCTAGTAATCTTGTCCTAGTAATCGTATCCTGATAATTTTGTTCTAGTATTCTTTACCTGGTAATCATTTCCTGGTAATGTTGTCCTGGTAATCTTGTCCTAGTAATCTTGTCCTAATAATCCTGCCCTAGTAATTTTGTCATCTTGTCCTGGTTATTTTTTCAGGAATTTTTGTTCTTTTAATCTTGTCCTGGTTATATGTCCAGGTATTCTTGTTTTAGTAATCTTGTCCTGGTTGTTTGTCCAGGTATTCTTGTTTTAGTAATCTTGTCCTGGTTATTTGTCCAGGTATTCTTGTTCTAGTAATCTTGTCCTGGTTATATGTCCAGGTATTCTTGTTTTAGTAATCTTGTCCTGATTATATGTCTAGGTATTCTTGTTCTAGTAATCTTGTCCTGGTTGTTTGTCCAGAAATTCTTGTTCTTGTAATCTTGTCCTCTTTATATGTCGAGGTATTCTTGTTCTAGTAGTCTTGTCCTGGATATATGTTCAGATATTCTTGTTCTAGTAATCTTGTCCTGGTTATATGTCCAGGTATTCTTGTTCTAGTAATCTTGTCCTGGTTATATGTCCAGATATTTTTGTTCTATTAATCTTTTCCTGGTTTTATGTCCAGATATCTTGTCCATATATAACTAACCTTGTAAACAATTCCTGATTCTTACCATGAATAGTAAAAAATATAAACCACATCCCCGAGCCCCAAACCCCCCGCCCCCATGCCCTTCATGTCCCCCTCTCTTATATATCCCTGCATCTAAAATCTACATCAATCTTAAAAAATTGATGGATTTTTTGTAGCTAATCTATAATTCAGATTCCATCTTCTCTATATATCACAGATTACTGCACTTACAACAAGAAAAATTTAGATTTTTATTTATTTAAATAAGAACTAGAAATAGCATCTACTCCGAGTCACATTATGGTACTAGGAATTTATCTACTCCGTGTCCCCATTATAGTACTTTTTAGAATCTTTAGAATGTTTTATTTTGAAACACGGATTTTAGATGGAAATATATTTGTTTTGCTGCACCATGTCCTTCCTTGAATATGAGAATACTGAGGGTTTGACCAATAAAACTTTTCAACTATTCAATATTCAAATATCCCCCATCCATCCTTCTTTCATCCGTTAGTATAGTGCACACACTAGTCATTCATCATCCATACATAGTAAACACTATTCATACATCCTTCGTTCATCCTTAGATATAGTGTACACAACACACTAGTTAGTAGTCATTCATCATCCATACATAGTATAAACTATTCTGGCCCCTGATATGAAACATTTAAGTGCCCCCTGACATATTCTGGCCCCTGATATGAAATATTTAACTCCCCCTGACATATTCTGGCCCCTGATATGAAATATTTAACTCCCCTTGACATACTAGTTAGTAGTCATTCATCATCCATACATAGTATAAACTATTCTGGCCCCTGATATGAAATATTTAAGCCCCCCCTGACATATTCTGGCCCCTGATATGAAATATTTAAGTCCCCCATGACATATTCTGGCCCCTGATATGAAATATTTAAGTCCCCCCTGACATTTTCTGCAATGGTAACATTTGGAATTTACTGTTATGGGGGATTTAGCAAACACTAAAAACTCTTATATCTTATATATTAATACATTTAGAATATATTATCCATTCCAGCCTTATATTTTAAATCATAAACACATTCATACTTCCATACATTCGCATATATATATATATTTAAACCATATAGCCATCATATACATCTATACATCTATACATCTATACATCTATACATCTATACACCTATACATCTATACATCTATACACCTATACATCTATACACCTATACATCTATACATCTATACATCTATACATCTATACACCTATACATACACCCAATGTTCAGATATCAACCTATTGTCTGTATGCACCAAATCAACGTCAAAACGAATGAACCAATTGGACCCAATTTTTTTATGGCAACTCACATAACCCAAATGAAGGTTTATGGACTGATAAAAGGGGAAATTGTGCCTAAAAAACGTCGATTAAATTTATTTTACAGAAACGTTTTCAGAAAAGTTTGCAATATAATAAATAAACGAAACAAAATCGGTCTGGTCTATTGTGCAAATGCTCCTCAAATATTTTGAAAGGACTGTTGTATTTTTTATAAAATTCAAACTCTCAAAATGTGTAATATTCAGCATTAAAACCAGTAAAAACAAAAAGTTACATTTAAATATTAAACCAAACATGAGAAATTGAATATCCATTAGAATTTAATATTTTAGTGGATTACATTCCAATATTGTTGTTTTCAATGATTCAGTTGAAAAATGCATGAATCTATTAATCTTAAATAGTTATATTCCTATAATTGATTTACATACAACTAAAAATAAGTTAACAAAAAAATCAACTTTGGTTAGAATACAAAGTCATGGAAAAACATATCGACATTTGATTAAAATGGATAATTTAATAATTGAAACTACATTAAACCCGATATTTAAAATCAAAACTACGATTCAAATCAAAGGTTTTAAATCAAGACTACATTTTAGACTAAAAGTACGACACGTTTGTGGTAGAGATATTGAGGCTAAAATACACTTAATTTTATTGCCTTAATGTACCTATACACAACATACAGGGTTATCCACTAGGATGTCACTTTGATCACTTTGATATTGACCAAATATTATTAATAAATAAAGATTTCAAAATTGAAGTTTTTTTTAATGCAAAATAAGATAAAAATTGGCAAAAGAGAAAAATTTTCTAGTTGCCAAAGTTAAAAGAACTTCAGTCATATTTGAAGTCTGAACCCTTGTGGATAACCCTGTATGATAAAATACCATCAATCTGATAATAAATTACCAGATATTTACAATGACTGTAAAACAAGATTGCCCCTAGTTGGACAGGTATTGAAGATGGGTGCAGCTAGCTCTGATGTAGAAACTATTGTATCTAGCGCTCAGGCGGTTTCTATCTCCCCTCGACAGTTT